AACTTCACTGGTGGTCAGCCAGAACAAGAGAAGACTCTCCTTCACTGTGACCGTGATGAACAGGAAGGAGAATGCGTACAATGCACGAGTGTTGGCCAGCTACTCCAGTAACCTGTTCTACGCTTCTGTTACACCACAGGCAATGCAAACTATTCATCACTTACATTGCACTTAAAATCAGCTGTACAAAACTGGGCAGGAGGCTATGGCTCGCCAAACTCTAGCATATACAATATTCTAACCAAAATTTAAATGCAACGTAATATGCATATTTTGCTTACATGGCACACACACATTCTTGTGTTGAAAAACAGCTATGTTTTGCTTATTCAATCTGATATTGCAGACTGAGGGAGCAGAGGTGAAGTGCACTCTGATGAAAGAATCAGACACACTCATCTGCCAAGTGAGTTATCCAGCGCTGAGGACGGACCAATCGGTGAGACGGATATCTGTGAGCATTAATGTTCATATCTGACTGATGTGATTGTAATGGTTTTGTATGTTTTCCACAGGTTACATTTGTGGTCAACTTTGACTTTAACTTGAATCAGCTTCAAAAAGATGCCAATGTTGTCTTTGAGGCTTTAAGGTAAACTGTTTTACACAATTACATTTTTTTTTAACAATGACTTTTATCGTTTCATTTTATCGCTGTGCATATGCTAAAAGCTATTTACAGAATTGCAAAAAATCTGACAGTCCTTCAAGAATGAAAATATTATTAAGCAGCAGGTGCCAGTGATTCACAGGTTTAGTCACGTGTTAATCACTGTTTCATTGGTTCATTTGCACTGCAGTGACAGCACAGAGGAAACTCCCGCTGATAATAAGATCTCTGTCTCCATTCCTGTCCAATACAACTCTGAGATCATCCTCAGCAGGTCAGACATGAAACACCTCTCCCCAATATTTCTGTATGATTGGTCTGTTACTGCATTCTGACATCTATTTGTTCTGCTAAAAGTTTGGGTTCAGTTAGACTAATACTTTTGTTGTTGTTATTGTTGTTCAGCAAGGATGCGTTAAATTGATATTTGTAATGTTTGAATAAATATCTATTTTAAATAAATGCCGTTTTTGAACTTTCTATTTATCAAAGAATCCTGAAAAAAATTCAGCAAATATATTAAGCAGCACAAATGTTTTCAACATTGATAATAACAAGAAATAATAAAAAATAAGGGAAAAAGTTTCTTGAGTAGCGAATCAGTATATTAGATTGATTTATGAAGGATCATGTGATCTGGAGTAATGATGCAGAAAATTCAGCTTTGCCTGAGAGGAATAAATTAAATGGTATCATAAATTCACATAGAAAACAGTTATTTTAAAAGGTAAGATTTCACAATATTGCTGTTTTTACTGTATTTTTGATCAAATAAATGCAGCCTTGGTGAGCAGAAGATACTTCTTTCAAAAACTATAAAAAATATATAAACAAAAATATATCACTGACCTCACAATTATTTGGGTTATTAATTGTTAGAAAATGTGGGAAGTATGGGAACATTGCTTGCGGAAACTTAAAAAAAAAAATCTTTATGGGATCTATGGGAACTTTAATTTATCTATGGGAATTAATATGAACATTATATCCGAAATTGTTTATTATACATCATTTTTAAAACCACTTTTTTAAATATATGTGCGTGTCTGAGTAGTTGTAGCATTTCTGCTTAGTGTTGGAGATAACATAACAAATAACGCGAGTTACGTAATCAGATTACTTTTTTCAAGTAACTAGAAAAGGAATGCATTACTTTAAATTTAAAGTTACTTTTTCAAATAAATAATGCACGTTACTTTACTTTTGCATTACTTTCTGTCACCTCAGCTGGGCAAAAACAATGTAATACATTACTTTACATAAAAAGTAGCTAAGTAACACAATTAGTTACTTTTTTTATGTAGGTTATTTTAGTAACTTTCCCCAACAGCGTTTCTACTTGATATTCAATTATTAAACAAAACCTTTTAACCCATCAGAATGTTCGACTAAAAGTCCTCTCTTAATGTCTTTATTTTAATTTCTTCAGAGAATCAAACATCGATGTTTACTTACTTGAAAAAGAGAACAGTTTCACAACCACAGTGAGGAATTTCAAGGACATCGGCCCAGATTTGAACTTTAATTTAAAGGTGAGTTCATGTAACGGATGAATCCTTCAGGCTGTTCTCTACCACCATCTGCTGGTTTGCTTTGAAAATGAAGTTGATGGTGATGTGAGTGTATTTATTTCTCCAGGTTTCTACAGGAATGGTCCCAGTCAGCCTGGTTTACCTCACTGTCTCGCTGCCCAACAGCACCAAAGCAGGAAATCCTCTCCTCTACACGACCAGCATTAAAACCTCACCTGTGAGGATCCATAACCTCACATTTACACACACAATCCATCATAAACATGAGCGAACGCATTGTCTGTGAATGTGGAAATGATTTGACATTATATTTCCAGGCTGAAAAAATCCATTGTGCAGACAGTCAACTGATCGACCCGTTTAAGATCAGCGAGAAACCTTATACGGTCCGATTCAAAGAGGAGAGTTTTAGAGGAACAGATGAACTGGTCAGTGCTTGTGGATCTTCATCTAAAAAATTCTTGAAATCCAAGACTGCCAAAAACATTGGCTTTTGTTACTGATCGTGACACACAAAGGAAGTACTAATGAATGAAGTATGAAACCCAGTAATAATTATTTGTGTAATAATTTGATCTAGATGGAGTTGATTTGCATGATGACTAATCCTGTCTCCGATTACAAATAACAGGATGTCTTCATTTCCATCCGTACTGATCATCTGTTCACCATCCACAGAACTGCAAAACGGCCACATGCCGCTCACTGCAATGCGTCCTGAAGGGCCTACAGGAGAAGAGTGATTATTATGTGAATGTAACGACAAACATATGGAATGGTACCTTTGCAATGGTAAATAAACTCATCTCAGTGCTTTTCTTGTATCGGTCTGGGCTAATATTGGGGTTAACAGTGTTTGTTTATTACAGGCTGATTTCCTGTACACCGTGCTCTCTGTGAGAGCCGATATAGAGACGTCTCAACCGGAGCTGCTGTTCATCAAACAGAAACACCTGCAGGTAGTCAAATCAAGCCGGATCAATCATTTGGAAATTATTATTTTTTTGCCTCAAATATGTGACATATCCTATACAATACATTTTTTTTTTTATATATATATATGCATCTGTGTGTGTTAACATGTTGCAAAATGTATTTATGTAAATATATTTTTTGCCAATATATTTTTGGGGAGGAAAAAAAAAAAATATATATATATATATATACATTAATAATATAAAATTTATTTTTTTCCCTTTCATATATTTCAATCCAAGAAAATGCATGTCACTATTAAAGAACATATTTGATGTCTAACACGTGAACATAACACATTTGAATACAAATCAGCAAGGAACATTTATAATATTCCAATATGTCAATATGGGGTGCTGTGTGTACATTAATGAGGAAAAAAAATTAACAAATGATTTTAGCAAATGGCTGCAATATAACAAAGAGTGAAAAATTTAAGGGGGTCTGAATACTTTCCGTACCCACTGTATATACACTGTATATATAAAATTGAATATAATTAAATCATTATAAATCTAGTTTTGATCTCTAGTAGGCTATTCCATCTACATTTGCATTTAGCCTAACTGTTTAGCCTTTACTGTAAGATTGGAAATGTATTTTCTTGTCCCGAAATACTTTTTGAAATATATTTTGGTATGTGAAATTTAAAACTACATATATTTTCAATTTCAAAAATATATTTCATTGAGTTCCACTGTTAACAGCATATATTTTGCATACATTTAAAATATCTTTTGGCCAGAAAATAAAAATTGCTGTATGGGATCAGCAGTCATTACCCAATGTAGGCTAAATTTACAATTCAACTCTTGATTGCAGGTTGAAGTCAAAGTGAGCAAACCTGGAGCTAAAGGGGACGTTCCAGTGGGTGCCATTATAGGAAGTGTTATCGGGGGTCTGCTGTTATTGGCTCTTGCCGTCGCATTGCTTTGGAAGGTACTTTGTTTTGCCATTTCAATGTTTATTTGGTCTACATCTTGTCATTGTCTTCTTTAAAAATCCATGTATTTTTTGCGTTCAGCTTGGATTCTTCAAGAGGAAGTATCAACCGATGATGAACAGGGAGGAGAATGGAGCAGAAAATCAGGAACTGCAGGAAAACAGCGAGACACCCTAAGAATTCTGCTGAGACTCATTTGGCAATATCACTGCTTCCTTCCCTGACACTAATAGCCAGAAAAGGGCTAGAAAGAGCCAACCGTTTTTAAAAATTGATTCAATTTGATTTCAGCGCAGCAAGTCAAATATTGGCATTCAAAACCCATTCATCTTTCGTATGTCTTTTCCCCTGCTTGACTTGAAAGCTGGTGTATCTTTTTGGCAGTCTTACCACTTCCATTTATTTTCTAGTAGTTAGTATTTAGCTAGATCTTTTTGACTATTGTGACTCATGCCCAAAGTATACTTCTCTTTGAGTGTAGCTTTTCAAAGTATCCTCCATTTGATAGTGTGTACGAACACAGGCGCTGGACACATGCACACTAGAAAGAGTCACCCTTGTCCAGTGTCTGCGCTATTTCTCTTCAGAAGTTATGACTGATGAGAGTCTTTGTACTCATTTAAACTAAAGTTGCAGGTCTCCATCCACCACAGAAGCACTTGTCAATGCGGGTGTCTGTTGTTGTTGTTGCCGTCTTTATTAGTTTATTGTTCTAGTTTGGTCTCCTCTATTCCTTTTCTGACTGAGAAACAACGGCCTGGGACAGTGTTGCCACCTTGTGGACAAACTAGTTAGTGCAAAAAAAAATCAAAGTGCATGTGTGAACTTAGCGTACATTGTACTAGGGCTATTCGATGTGGCTAGAAGGGATACACCTCCGACCAGAAACTAACAATGAAATTTAATTTTATTCCTATTTGTGTTTTTTATTAACGTCTACACCTAACCCAACCCTAAACCTACCCCTTACAATAATGCAAAAATAGTAATTATTGTTGTACAGTGAGACAAAAATTATGCTATATTGATGTGTGCATGCCCAGTAGCCACAGCTGTATACCTTCTAGCCTTAACCCTGTTTGATTGCGGGTTCTTCCAGAGTCGACTCCCCATCGACTCGCTGTTACATACAGGGTCAGCAATAAGAAGAGACAAGGTCTTTTCATACCAAGTCCGAAATTTTCGCACGTTAAAAAATAAATACGACCTCACGTTGTGTCAATCATGTTTACACACTGCCTCCGAAACTTTGGTCCGTCATAAAAAAAAATTAGGACCAGGTTTGTTTTTCTGCGTTTTCACATCCGTAGGAAGCATTTTGATGGGAAAGGATGACGAATATGAAAAAAAAAAGAAAAACGCATACAAAAATTTCGAACTCGGTGTGCAAGGACCTTTACAATATAGCAGTCTTTATATTACACACTAAATTCTTTTAATTTTTTTGGTGACAAAAACTTGAAACATTAAAATAACACACTTTAACCGTGGCTAATTATTCCAATTTAGAGATTACATTACTTTGAAATTATGAGTATCACCATTTTCTAGTTGTTGCCAATACATACAACAGCCATGTCAGAGTTAAATGAATGAGAGAGAACATATTCTTCGAATTAATATAATGGCCGGGTGAGGGCATTGTGACAGTTGTTTCTGTGTCAACCCAGTGAAGTCAGTGTCCGATTTCCTGGCTTTATTTGGTTCACTCCTTGCCGATATAGTGCACTCAACTGGCGAGCACTATATAGGGACTAGTGAATGAGTGAGGAATTTCAGACACAGCAATGGAGTCGACAACGAGTCGATTCCTGTGCTGGAGTTGACCCCAAGACTATGGCTATTCAGAGTCAAGGAATCAGCTTTAGGCGTTGACTCCCCATAACTACATTGCACAAATGGTTAAGAAAAATTGGGCTGAATGTGCGTATAGGGTCACGCACCATACCAAAGATTTTAGATGTACGCATACCCTAACATACTAGGCCTAAAGAGATAATTTGTGGCATATGAGTAAAAGGACCTTTGAGTCATTGACTAACTTAATTGAACAAATTTGATCATTTATTTTATATACTGGAGTACTAAAATTCCCAAAAATTCTAAAGCATACCAGGCATATGTTCCAAATTATACAGTATCAGTGAAAAGAAACCTTCACAAAATTGTAGCGAGACCATTTCAGCAATACCAAATTGCAAACTCAAAAATGTTTTATGCCCAAAGCAGCAAAACACTGGTAAAGCAGGTTTTTTTGTGAATTCTATCGCTGCCACTGTTGTCCATACTATGTAAACATGAGCAAATAACTCCAGTAGTAAGCAGTGCCACTGTATGCAACACATCAGGGAAATTGACTAACACTGCATGAGAAAATAAATGATTTTGACTACTTGCACAAATGAATCAAGTTAGTAATAAGAAACACTTTAAAAACTTAACATTAAATCTTACATTAACAAATGATGTAATAATTTAAAAATGTTCATTTTTAAAGTGTTGTCTGCATTGTTTCTTATTACTAACTTGCCATTTATAAACATAAAATACAGCTTAATGTTATCCGCAAATGTATAATGACATTTCAAACAATTTGACTGCATTAACAAATGATCTAAGCATTATATGATGTAGTCAAATCTTCTGAAATGTCAAACATATTTGCATGTATATGAAAGTGTTGTCAGTAAATTGCTACATGAATTCAGGGTTTAACTTCTACTGATGCTGTTATGTGGCGTTTTTAGGAAATCTTTGAGGCCTGACTAATCGAAGGCAACATAAACGACAACGATTTCCCTTAATGTTTACATCATGTTTTTGCACTGGTACTTTTTTAAGACTTTCTATTCAAGAGAAGAGTAGAATATGCTCTTTTGATTAAAATCTTTGTTTCATCAGGTGTTACAGGAAAACTTTGAACTTTGTATTTTTTCAATAAAAACCTCTTGATGCTTCATGAGATATACTGTAGCTCATTTGCTAGTTAACAGTTCAACTTTGTTTGGGATCTTTCCCAGTATCCGCCCACAAACACTCCTTGTTCTCTTTCCAGCACGGCTCCCCAGACTCGTATATTTGCTGAAAAGTACAAAATAATTACAAACATGTTCCAAACAATTGTGCAATGTAATATATGAAGAGAAATTATTACACTTTGATGGCAATAATTACCAGTTACAAGTTATTATAAAAAAAGGAAGGGTTCCACAAACAGGGTAGACTGTAGTGTCTTATAACTTTATTATGTTTACTTAAAAACGTAAAAGATAATAATTATACTTAAAGTATAAGAGGCACAAATAACTTTTTTTTTGTTTTGCTGTCAGAACTATTTGATTACAATTACCTAGCATAAAAATAGCTGGTTTTAAATGAGAAATGTCTGTTTTTTTTAGTCTGTCCCAGATTTTGATCTTATCAAATATCCAATAATTACAACCACAAGTTGTGATTTTGACAATATGCAGAATTTATTTTTAAATCATTGTATTAAAAACTTAAGTTATTTAACTAATTCTTATGATTAAATGTTTACCTTTCTTAGAGTAACATTTCATGTTCACTTATGGGAAGACAAACAAAACATCAATTTTATCAATTTTTACCATTCAACCCTGTTACCAAGTTTGTCAGGAAAAGTGATTAATTAAATATTGCCCATAATTTAATGCAAATGTAAGTTTAACAAAAATTACTTGTTAATAACTTGCTGTTATATTAAAATGTATTCTCTGTAAAGTTGTATCATCCATGTCTTTTTAGTGTTAATATTTAATGCTTATTACTAGACAGTAATAGTATCATACAAATCGATTTTAAAATGTGCCACATTATGGTTCTGTAAAAAAAAAAAAAGCTAATTTAATATTTCATCTGACCTCCCGAGGTTGACAACTTTTTAAAGCACCCCCTTTTCAAAGGTCTTTTTTTTGTACCTTATTCATGTTCTATATGGTTATACAGACCTTTTTCCAGATTGGCACAGTAGCTTTGAGTGTGTTGATGCAGTACTTCACTGCCTCTAGGGAATCACTTCTGTGCGGTGACGAGATCCCTATTATAACACTTGCTTCTGTTATAGGAACCACACTGTGGACACGGTGGGAAAACGCAGAAAATACCCTTTAGACATAATGATGTTAAAGTGATTAACTTCTATTATCTGAACAAGCTTTGAGACTCACCCAAGTCTATGCTGTATGTTAATGTGTCTGACGCTGGGCCACTTTGTCCGGATCTCACAGCAGATCTTCCTGAGCTCTGACTCTGCCATTGGACTGTACGCTTCATATTCAAGCCGGATCACTTTCTTCCCCTCAAAATTATCTCTGGTAGTTCCTGAAAGAGGAGATCACATATAAAACTAATAGGTAGCAGTAAGAAAGCCAACTCTAAACAGTAGCAATGATCCACTGAAATTCAGCGTAACAAAGACTGACCAATAAACAGAGATACAGCACCACAGGAGGGACACGTAACAGATTGAGAAACACTATCAGCAGAAAGCTTGTCAGTAGTGAGTGTAATTAGATCCTGACCCCCATCTGCAGCCATACCTGAACAACAAAAAAAACGAATATATAAAATAGGTTTCTATATAATATAAAGTATACTATGAAACACTTACGTTGTTATGTGTTTATAATGTTTTATTATAATATACATAAAAAATAAAATACAGTAACAAAGATAGACAGGTGTTGGATTTGATGCCCACCTTGATAATTTCTTTAGCCTCCACTAAGGGGCGGTATAACGGCCACCTCGTCCCTGTCTCTGAGGGTCAAGGGCTGCTCTCCCAGAGGCACGTACTCCTGACGCACGGCCAGAACCACCTGATCCCGTAACACAGAGAGTCTGCCGAACAGGACACACATCTTCCGAATGAAACATGACTATATATAACGAATAGAAATTAAAATAAAGATGAACAGATGCTCTAGTCCAGAAACACCCAAACCAGAGCCCAGGGGCCAAAGACCTTTGATTTGACCCGCGAGTCCTGGTTTAAGCATTTATGGATCATTCCATATCACAAGAGGAAGGAGAACAAAAAATGTGGTAAAACCCACTAAAGCATATCTTCATTTCTATTACTATTTTATCTTTTTTTTTTTTTTTGCAATCTTTGCATTTAAATGTTAAAAACAATATGTATGAATATGATTTTTTTTTTTATATAAAATATAAAAAAAATGTTATTTAAATATCAGTTTAATTATTTATTTATTACATTTTAATAGAATATACTTTTGGCCCATGGCTCTCAATAAATTATTTTTCATCGTTTGTATTAAAAATGTTTGGACACCTCTGCTCTTGTACATTGGAAAATAACACAAAGTAGTAATTTGTAGATCATTTGTTTTTCTTAGCATTATTTACATGCTTAGAGTGTGCATAGAGCGATACATTTCACATAAAAAGACTTCAAATCTGGGCAAAGTATGAATTAAATATTTACACTGCAAATATAATGCCCAGTGTTATTACATTAAATATACATCTTGTAATGAAATGAAAGTTACAGTTTATAAACATGTCATAAACATTCTCTTTCCAATGAACAACTTCATAAAAGTATATAACAAAATATATCAAAAATATGTATTAATACTAAGTATTACTACTATAATTAGTAGTTTTACGTCAAAATATGTAAAGTGTTTATTACATGTTAAAAAAAAAATAAAAAAAAACTTTATCACAATTATTGTTATTGCTGTTATTTAGTTTTATTATTAGCGAAGTCTCTGATTGGTGGACTGAGTGGCAACATCTCATTTGTTTGATTGGGCGCTTTTTTATTCATGTATTTAAAATAATAATTCACCTTGGATGTCTGGTCTCCAAATGCTGCCACAGCTGTAGAGAGGATATGTTTGACGGAACCGTGAGGTTTTCTGCTTTAAGTCCCGTTAATTCGGCACTTTTTGCAAAGTACAGAACCGACACCTGCTTAACGAGTAGGTATTTATTAGAATATGGTCAGAGAAAACTTCCCAAAACACTCAAGTTCACTTAATGTCATCGATGATTAACGTTACGTAAATATGAATCGTTTTGTATTTTCACTTTGCAGGAGGTTGATAAGAAAATGTAATTGTATAAACGATTTGAAAAGCAGACTTACCTCGGTATTCATGTATGTATACTGGCTGGACACAAGTAAACTTCAACCCTTCGCCGCGTGCGTCGGTTTGTCTTCCTGAGAGCCCAAATCCAATTGGTTTTGCTTCAGGTCAGCTGACTCGTGACATGAAAACTGACACATGACGCTCTGTTTATTCCGGAGCTCAATGTCCTTGTGAATGTTTAAAATTACATCTTATAAATTCGCACTTCTTCTCATCTATTAAGTCTTTGAGCTTTTATCGTTGAAATAGCGACGTTTAAACGTTCCTAGAATTAGCTCTGCATTTCATTCCACCCTTCACCAGCAGATGTCTCCAAATTCACATAACAAACTGAGCCATTCACCAACCTCACATAGTTAGGTCCCTAAATATAATATATGTTCACTGTCTTTTAAGGTTACTATATTTAGACTCATGTAAAGCCTTATGCGCATATAACCATGAAAGCTATCAGTATACAGTTTTTTTTTTTTTTTTTAAACAATAGATCAAACGCTCGTTTCGCCATTATTACACAGCCGATGGCTGTTTTTGTTCAGTAAGACAGTTCTGTGTGGCATTCGATCAATCCAGTGACATCTGCAACCACAGACCACAGCTGTGCAACGTATGTCCCCGTTTCACAGTCATTGTTATTAACAACGTGTGGTAGAAGACACTTGCAGAGTCGTGCATTTCTCCCAATTTTCCAACAGAGGGACAGCAGGGCAACACGTCCAACCCTGACATCTCTGGCAAGCCGATTTAACATTTACTTCTTAAAGCTATATCGGTTTTATGTTAACAGTAGGCTTACTACTTTGTTTTTACCTACTAATAGACAAAATAATCTAATAGTGAGTGCAATATGTATATGTAAAGAAATGTTACTACTGCCAGATAGTTAATAGATACCAGTAAGCGCAACTAAAAAATAAGTTATGTAAAGTATTACATAATAAATTGTTACTAGTAAAACTAAAATAAACTTAAGTCAGGGTAGCACCACATTAAAAAATCTAAGGAAAGAAGTACAGTGTGTTCAATTGACTGCAATGTTTAACAACATACCCATTGTTCAGCTGATTAAATGTCTTTCAATAGACAAGTACACCATAAAACAGTTTGAAAACTGTGAGAATTACATGATCTAGGGCCTTTATACAGTGTGTGCCATTGTTAGGACAGTACGTTTATCCTTCACAGCCTCATTTTCATCCATGTTGAATTCAATATGCTAAACCAATTAAGGTCTATAACTGGTATACATACATAGTACCATAGATATGTATAGATTGATGCCACATTTGACCACTCTAGACATGTCAACGTGTCTGCCTTCTTGGAACAGTCAACGTGTCATCAATCACAGTTAAAATCAATGAGTTTTCCAAGATGCCACAACATTGCACAGTCTCTGGTTGGAAAAAAACACCAAGATTTAAATTCTTAAAGAAATGGGACAACCTTTCACTGGTGAGAATGTGTTGGTTTGTGTTTTTATATATGTATACCTCAATAATACAGGTTTTTAAACTATGGTAACCTTTTAATGTTGTGTTAGCTAATGCCTTTGTCTTTTTGTATCGTGTTAGTTTAGCAGAAAATTAGTCTATTGTAGATATAGATGTTTATACATGCATATACCTACAGTTGCAGATGCACAGTCAATTTACTCTTGAGTGTTCAAGGGCTAACTTTGATCACTCCAATCAGGATTGCCAGGTCTGCATAAGAAAACCAGCAACAGCTCAAAACTAGCCCAATCATGTTGCAATCATGTTCGGTCCAAAATCACATTCCCACAGACTAAAAAACAACAGCAACAACAGCATAAAAGTAGCCTAATTCCATGAGAAAATCGCAGACTTGGCAACACTGGCTCCAATATGGTGGACAGCTTACATATAGCGGCCAATAGAAACTGCCACTAATGAGGCATCTGTGTATATATATCTATTGCATAGTACTCCAGTCCATACTTCGAATTCAGTTACAAAAATGTGTTGCTAGAAGTAATGGAATAGTTACTTATCAGTATTGAAATAGTGACTAGTAGCAAATAAAGTACTAGTGTCTGATAAGTATTTCCATCACTGATGGACAAACAACCATCTAAACTGCAAGTGCGAACATGATAAATGCTCCGGTTACTCACGTAACCTCGGTTCCCTGAGATAAGGGAACGAGCGTTGCGTCGTCGTTTGATGACTGCTTGGGGAAACTCCTGTTTACTCTATTACTGAAGCCTGATTGGTTAACGTTTGTGTAGCTGCACAAACCAATGGCGCTCGAGCCCGCCAGAAGGGGCGGAGCCGACCGCTATATAAGTCGGCTCGGAGCGCCATCTCATCAAAATCATACGACTGAAGCAACAGCCATCGATTCGCGTGCAGCTATAGCATGGCCAGTTACGCAACGCTTGTTCCCTTATCTCAGGGAACCGAGGTTACGTGAGTAACCGGAGTGTTCCCTATCGAAAGTTAACTCCCGTTGCATCATCGTTTGACGAGTGCTTGGGGAACGTATCCAGTAGCGCCGTGCTATAAGCAGATGCAGAACTTAGCCTGCTCTGCGAGCTCAGCCCAGGAACACTCAGCGAGGGCTCCATAAGCCTGAGCCACAAAGAGACCCGAGAACGTTCTGAGGTCTACTTGAGATAACTCTCCCCACCCGGTGGGGGTAAAGTAAGCATTAGGCAGATAAGACCTGCGCCTGCAGGGCAGGGACGTCCAAATTGTAGAATCTAATAAAGATTGACGGCGACGACCAGCCGGCGGCCGCACAAATCTCCCCAAAAGAGAATCTACTGGACCAGGCCCAAGAGGAGGCCATTCCTCTGGTGGAATGGGCCCTCGCACCCAAAGGGCATTGCAAGCCAGCTGAGGCATAAGCCAGAGCTATTGCATCTACTATCCAATGAGATAGTCTTTGCTTTGTGACAGGCAGCCCTTTAGAGCGACCTCCAATACACACAAAAAGCTGCTCTAATTGTCTGAAAGACTCTGAGCGCTTAATGTAAAGTCGCAGTGCACGGACAGGACATAACAAGTTTAGACCTTGTTCGCCATCCGTTCCAGGGAGGGCTAAAAGGAAAATTACCTGCACTCTAAACGGAGTTGAGAGCACCTTCTGTACATAACTGCTGCGCGGTTGAAGAACGACTTTACAGTTGTTGGGTCCAAACTCAAGACAGGAAGCACTGACAGACAGGACTTGCAAGTCCCCTACTCGCTTGACTGACACCAGGGCCAAAAGCAGAGCGGTTTTGAGTGTCATGACCCTTAAGCCAGCTGTTTGAAGCGGCTCAAAGGGGGAGCTCTTGAGAGCTCTCAGGACTATAGACAAGTCCCATGCTGGCACCGTCCTAGGGCGAGGAGGGTTTAACTGGCGAGTGCCTCTAAGAAACTTAATAACCAAGTCGTTCCTGCCAGTTGTCTGGCCAGCCTCGAGAGAATGATTCGCCACAATGGCTGCAACATAGACTTTGAGCGTGGAAGGGGTGCACCCCTTATCCAGCAGCTCCTGCAAAAAGGTTAGCACATGGGACACATCACATGATACCAGATCCTGGTTCCGTGCTGAACACCAGTCACTGAAGACTGACCACTTGAGGGCATAGAGGCACTGGGAGTTGGCTAGACTCCCATCGAATGGCCAGACATGAAGGCTCCACAGTTCCGGCTGGGGATGCCAAGTCATGCCCTGCACCTGCGAGAGAAGGTCTCTCCTCAGAGGTAGTGACCACGGCTCTGCAGATAGCAGCTGGATCATCTCTGAAAACCAGACTTGGTACCTCCAGGGAGGTGCCACGAGGAGGAGAGAGCACTTTGTGTCCCTGACTCACCTGATAACCTGGGGTAGCAGGGCGATTGGAGGGAAGGCATACAGACGGGTGTTGGGCCAATCGTGGGCCAGAGCATCCCGCTGTCTTGAAAAATAGGTTGGGCAGTGATAGTTGTCTTCAGAGGCGAAGAGGTCGACCTCTTGCCCTGCCGAAAACTGACCAGATCATCTGAACCGTCTGGGGATGTAGCCTCCACTCCCCTAGAGCTACATATCTGCTCCCTGGTTTAGTCTGCCCGGCACATGAACTGCTTGTAGTGAGAGGAGTTCTCTCTGTGCACAATGCAGGAGACGTCGAGTCATCCTGTGAAGGGGACGTGACCTGAGGTCGCCTTGGCAGTTGATATAGGCTACCACAGTCGTGTTGTCCGAGTGGACCAGGACGTGGTGCCCCTTTAAGGCTGGCAGGAAGGTTTTCGGGGCCAGCAAACAGCCATCATTTAGAGGCAGTTGATATGTAGGCATTGCTCATGGGTCTACCAGGAGCTGTACGCCGGATTGCCCTCATACAGAGCGCCCCAGCCCGAGCTGGAGGCGCCCATCGTGACCACCTTCCTTCTGGAGGCCATTCCCAACTGCATGCCTGACAGAAACAGGCAGGGAGTTGTCCAAGGGCCACAGCTTTGACACAGCGATGGGTTACCCTGACATAAACGCTGCCCAGGCGGTAGGCATGGGACAGGACATGGGCTTTTATCCAATATTGAAGGGGCCGGATGCCCTGAGGGGACGTGCAGACCCTGGCTTGAATGACGGCGTCACTCACTGAATATTCAGGGAGCGTTCCGGTGTAATCCAAGCTCAAATTTTCACAGAGTCTATAACTGTTCCCAGAAAGTCACTTGCTGTCTGGGAGTCAGAAAACTCTGGCTGAATTGATTTTCAGTCCAAGACGCTCTAGGTGGTTGAGCAACAACAACTTGTGAGCGAAAAGTTCCCGTTCTGATTCGGCCAGTCGTCGAGGTAGTTCAAAAAGCGGATTCCCATCAGTCTCAGAGGGGAAAGAGCCATGTCTACGCACTTCGTAAAAGTTCAGATGTCTGAGATTGAGTATTGGTCTGAGCCCACCGTCTTTCTTGGGAACAAGGAAGTAACGGCTGTAAAAACCTGACTCGCTGTTCGCTAAGGGGACCGTTTCCACGGCACCTTTGCAAGCAGTGTATGTACTTCGGACCGAAGAACATGCATTGTCCCGTACCGAAGTGTGAATAATACCTCTGAAGCGAGGTGGCCTGCGATCGAACTGGAGCGAGTATCCTCATTCCATGGTTTTTAGAATCCAGCTTGACACGCCGGGGATGGCTTTCCAAACAAAAATCCAGGTGGCAAGCGGTTACTTTTCCTACTAATGGCAGTTCACGACACGGGGGCGGGGAACTGGCATTCGCAGTGTGAGGAGAGGAGAATTGCTCTTGTGGGTCCACTATCACAGTGGTAGTTTGCTTGGGCACGCGCTGAATGAGAAGGAATTCCCTGCACGAGCCACACTCATGGTGCAACATTTGCAACAACGTCGCAGAGAAATTGCTCAGGAATTGCTCTTACCAGCCGGATAGCCGCAGGGGAAGGCTTCTCACTTCTTCCGCTGCCGGGGCTCTTCTACAGCGGCGAGCTGCAGGCTGAGCTTCTTCCCTCTTCGGCTTCTTGATTGCAGAGTCAGCGAAGAGATGGTCTCATTGCTGAAGGAGAAGATTCTAATGAGATGGCGCTCCGAGCCGACTTATATAGCGGTCGGCTCCGCCCCTTCTGGCAGGCTCGAGCGCCATTGGTTTGTGCAGCTACACAAACGTTAACCAATCAGGCTTCAGTAATAGAGTAAACAGGAGTTTCCCCAAGCAGTCGTCAAACGACGATGCAACGGGAGTTATCTTTTGTAACTAACCTTACCTTTCAGCAACTAAAATGCTCTTATAAAACGGATAGTTCCGGTCCTTGATTCTGATTGGCTGAGCCACGTTCGAAGCTGTTGTAAATTACTCTACTAACATACACCTTTGTTTATGTTTGTGTGTTGCTCGGCAACCACTTTTTTGCAACCCCAACTGATTCTGAGGAACTACATTGTTTGGTGGAAGAATAATGTTTTTATTAATATCATTACACTTTATTTGCTCTGTTTTATTTTGTGAAACCTTACTACGTATATGGAATAACCGTTTTATAAAAGCTAAGCGACATTGTGCCTAACAACACCCCTTAGCTGTTATAAATTCACTGTAAACCACGGCTTCTTGGGGCATATTGCTTTAGCCTACACTGCAAGAGTGCAACGTCAGCAGCTTCACAGGAGTTTGTCGTGTCATGTCGCGTCACTAGTAGTGTAGACAGGGTGTAACGAAACACCCTGATTGCTTCCTTTTGAAGGAGGATTTGTTGTGCTATATTTACAGGTTTGACCCTGTGGAGGACCAAACAACTGTCTTAACTATTATTAGAATAACCGTATCCTTCATTCTATTATTACCCGTCAAAATTCACAGTAATAGGCCACTTCAAAAGATTAACGCTTATCGTCCCAACTGAAATGGATGGAAAAGTGTCTGGATCCATTCAAAGCAGAGAATTGTAATAGTTCATACGTATTCCCACGGCACAGAGATGCTGTTGTCTCTATTCATATTGTCTGGTTTGCTGTACAGTAGAGTATATACAGCTTTAATGATAAAGAGTGTAGTAATTAAAAAACTGCCAGTTCATAGTAAACTAATAGCTCGTTATTGTTAGTAAGGTCATAATATAAGTCAATAGGATTAAATGAAAAGGGTGCATTTTGTGCATTATATAAAAACTGACTATAACTTTTACTATATGTGTTTAGGGATTTTGGCAAAGTTCCAGTAATTTAATTTAATTTTTAAACATTTTAATGTATTCTTTCTCCATTTTGTATTATTTACTTTTTGGTCTGTTCCCAGTTCTTGTTGTATTAGCAAATTTTAATTAAAGTAATGAATTTTTAATGAAAAATTAGCAACATTTTAAATGAACAAAAATACATGAATAAAAGTATTTTGTATTTATTCTCTCTCTCGCTCTCTCTCTCTCCCAATTCATATCAATATGTGCTTTGTTGGCATGACAATTGTTACAATGTATTGCCAAAGCATAGTGTTTACACTGAATCTAGAAGAGATGTGTATTTAAAAATAATAAATAAATAAAATAATAGTATATACATAAAAAAAATAGACTAGAACAAACAACATTTTAGAATTCTATGAACAATTTCTCTCTCTCTCTCACTATACACACTTTTATTAAAAAGACAAATTCGAGGTTAGGCATCAGCCCATTTACCTTATAATTCCCCTTATCTGTATAATAATGTAAAATTTTAATTGAAAATAAATCATAATAACAGTAATCATCATTGTGAACTTGTATTTTTTATCATCTTATATTGTATTATGATTTTTGGCTCGTACAATTTAAATAGTCAACCCTGTTACCATGAGTTTGAAAAGTAAACTGGATATTTGCAGAAATATCAACATTAAAATCTTTATTACAGATACCTTGTAGTGTCAAGACCTCGAGAGCAGCGCAATATTAAGCATAAAACTCAACCCTGTTATTATGATATATTACATTTTAGCCTTCATGGCACATTCCAATTTATTAACATGTAAAGACATTTGTATTTTCAATCCTACAACAATCAAAGGTTATCCCATCAAAATAAACTAGTATTTATTCTGCAATTTTGCAGAACTGGTTTCTGTTTCATAAAATTCAAGTTCAAAGTTTGGCATATGTTGTAAGAAAAAATATTTATATCAAATAACTGTTATGCTGTAACAATCAGCCTTCTTTCCACATTAAACACAGACAGACCCCAAATCACTTTTCTGCTGTTTTCCAACTCTTTGAAATCCCCCCAAACTCAGCCCCAAATCATAATGTTGCTCTTGAGGGGAGAAAGTTTCTAGACTTCCAAATGTCACCTGATAAATTTCGGTGGGCAAACTATTACAATGCTCTCCCCACCCCACTATGAAGTATGAAGACCGCCCACCACAGGCATCCAACTCAAGACCCCATATAGATTTAAAAAGCGAGACGGATTCCGTGTGTATGACAGTCAGTGAGTGCGAAGCATCGGGAGAACATCTGTCCATCCGTAGTCCGTCTGTCTCCAACGCGCGTCTCCACTTTTTCTGAGGATGCTACAGTTACCGCAGCTCCGCCAGGGCGTTATCGCGCTTCTCATATGGTTCGCGCACTTGATGGAACAGCAGAAAGTACAAGGTAAAGTGACATCTATCCTTCGCGTGAAGTCTGAAGTCTGAATGAGGGCTATTATGCAGTGATAAAGCCATTCATGCATTGATTTGGACTTGAGCAGCGGTCCGGTTGCGTGCTGGTGCCTCTCGTGAGTAAAAACTAAGAGAACTTATATGTTTATATGTATACAGTATGTATTATTATATGTATACAGTAGATATATAGTTTAAAGGCACTTCCTGTCTGATCTTGAAATGATTTATATTTTCAGACGTTATGTCAAACTTTGTGCAATAGGAAGTGTGGTATTTTTATCATTTATGGTGTTTAAAATGACATTGTGTCTAAACGGTTGAGCATGTTGCCGTGCAATGCACAAAAAACGCTTGCACAACCACAATATAGAGTTTCTTAAGAGTTTGAGTGGACTCAGATGGCAGAAAGACTCTTTGAACATTTGGAATTTAAACCCGAGTTCCTTTTAAAAAATACCATTGAAATCATTTTCAAATGTTTTTTTTTTTAATCTTTTACCTGGATCAAGCAAAATCTGTGGTTATTTCATAATGTAACTTGGCACTAAAGATGTAACCAGATATTGAAGGGGCCAAAAGTAGGAATTTAAGACATGTAAGGTAAAATAAAAATCCAGCATGCACCCCTCAGTGTCCAAAGTAGTTGTGGCTCTGCTTGGCACTAATTGGTTTCAGTTAGCTACATTCAATTACATGCCTGGTATGAGTGATATATGAGCAGAATATTATTCAGCACGTAATAAAGTGGCTCTTTCCAGCTGGCAACTGCTGGCTTCAGCAGGGCAAGAACGGGAGATGCCAGGTTCTCTACATGTCTGGGATGAGTCGGGAAGACTGTTGTAGAAGTGGCCGTCTGGGCACGGCTTGGACCGAGGAGGATGTACCCAATAACACGCTTTTCCGGTGGCTGATCTTCAATGGTGGTGCACCGAACTGCATACCTTGTAAAGGTACCACATAAGAGTGATTTCATCATTTGGATGAATGGAAATAATCTGGAAGAGGCTTTGAATTGTTAGCCTATGAAGATTTCAGACAGGAAATGCTAGGAACGTATATGAACATTGTGATCATTTGTCAGTCCAGAACTGATTTGTCAATTAATCATAGCCTTCTTTATTGATTCCACAGAGACTTGTGATAATGTGGACTGTGGTCCTGGAAAGAGGTGCAAAATGAACAAGCGGAATAAGCCTCGCTGCGTATGTGCCCCAGATTGCTCCAATGTCACCTTTAAAGGGCCTGTGTGTGGCTCCGATGGGAAAACATACCGGAACGAATGTGCCCTCCTTAGGGCCAAGTGCAAGAGACACCCTGACCTGACTGCACAGTACCAGGGAAAATGCAAAAGTACAGTCACGTAAACCTTCTTCAAAGTCCAAATGAAATTTAAATTTAAATGCTTAATTACTTACAAACTATTGTGTACATTCTTGCAAAGAAGAAAATGTCTCTGCAATCTTAAATATTTAAAAATAATAACTTGCTCCATCTCTGAAACAACTTTTTGTTTCAGTGACATCACGTAGGCCATGCAATCTACTGAATAATGTAGGAATTGCTTTTAACCAACTTGCATTTTTGTTTACATTTGGTTACGTAACACTTTTCATAATCCACTCAATTCCAAATGGATATAGAAAATTTAGGTCCCGACTTAAATTGTTCTTGCTGAATATCCTGTTTTATGAAAAAATACGTCACATTACAGAATTAAAATGTTCACAAAATACTAATCTGCTCCGCCTCTGAAACAACTTTTTGTTCCGGTGACATCATGCAGGCCATGCGATCTCATTGGATCATGTAAGAACTGTTTAAACTAGCATTTTAAATTACATTCTGTTATGTAACACCCACTTTTTATGACTCAGTCAATTTCCAATGGATATGGGAAATTTAAATTCCAACCAAAATTTTCATTAAATATCCTTTTTCACTCCGAAATACACCACATAAGAGAAGTAAAATGGTTGCGAATGCTGTTTCACGTTGACTTTTTAAGTCTAAAACTAAGGCTCAATTCTCAGTTCTTTAAATAAAATGCATTTAAAAGGAACTGAATGATAACTTGCTAGTAATTGAACGAACATGCATTATTTCATGTCTTTTTAATAAAAATACTATGCCTACCAAAATATTTATAGAGAGAATGGAATTTTACACCTTTATGCATTGACAAAATATAAAACTATAGTTTCACATCAGTATCACGTAACCAGGTGTAAAAGGTTGTTAAACAGAAGCTGCCAGCATTGATGGATTATTATTTTCATACAGAATCATGCTATGATGTGCGCTGTCCTGGAAGCTCAACGTGTGTACTGGACCAGACCAACAACGCCTACTGTGTGACCTGCAACCGGCTTTGCCCTGAGGTGACCTCACCGGATCAGTACCTGTGCGGGAACGACGGGACTATGTACGCCAGCGCCTGCCATATCCGAAGGGCAACGTGCATCATGGGACGGTCCATTGGAGTCGCCTACGAGGGGAAATGCATAGGTGAGAATAAGACAAAATCTTGTGCTTGCACAATCCTTTCTTAAACATGTGGTTCTCATTACTCTGTTTTCTGTTGCAATAACATATTCATGTTTCACATGGGTAGCTTTGACTGTTGCTGCTTTTCTGCGTTATTTAATACCTCCTCAAACCACACGGAGTGAAATAAGACTAAAATTAACAGCCGAAAGGGGCTTGAAAAGTGGTTTTACATACAGTAAAGTGAAATCATACTTTGGGAAAACTTCAGTTCTCATTTTCTTCGTCTACTCCACATCATCTTCAGACGCCAGGTCCTGTGAAGACATCAAATGTCGGGAGGTACGAAAGTGTCTGTGGGACAAGTGGACGGGACGTGGACGCTGTGTGATATGCGAGGACACCTGTCCCGAGAGTCGTCCGGGCGACAGCGTCTGCGCCAGTGACAACGCCACTTACCCGAGCGAGTGCGCCATGAGGCAGGCCTCCTGCTCTTTGGGTCTCGTCCTGGAAGTCAAACACTCGGGCTCCTGCAACTGTAAGTAGTGGATGCTAAACCTGGCCGCACCCATGTCCCGCATTCCCTCCCCCTGCCGAAAACACCCCTCTTTCTTGCCCCTCCCATTGCCCCCACAAGGAACGCGAGGACTGTTGGAGAGAGAGTGTGTATTAGCCCTTGTGTCGGCTTCCTCTCGCAAAGACTTAACTCAGTGGCGATGAGATGTTAGAAGTGTCCGGGACAGTGCAGTTGTCCCCTGCTTATCTATCGATGAGGTGTTAAGCCAAAATCTTTGAGGTCAAGCCTGGAAGGATTTCCGTTTGGGATGCGAGACAGTTTTTAACATGCTGCTCATCTGATTTTGTTTCACTGTCTGCGCATCAGAGACAGAAACGTGACTGACGGTATCATGTGGAAAGTGAACATAAACTCACTTAGCGTGCTCTGTTTGTGAATCGTCTTGTTGTTTTTGCTCTATGGCAGGCTGACCTGCTCTGTGATGGACAAAGAAAAGCGAACCTGGTGCCATTATGGTGCACGGTCAGAAATTCACCAGTTGCGAAAGTGACAAAAAATGCCCTGGAAATATAAATTATACGGGGGCAGAAAGTTTTTTTTAAATGTGTATTTTAATATATAGATATATTTCTGACACATATTTTAATTGCAGTTTTTGAAATGGTCAGTATGCTGTGTTTTATATGCCCAGAAAATCAATTCCGAGAGACAAATATTGTCTGCGGACGTTCGTTTCCAACCCCAGCTAACATCTCTAACACCTTTGTCTATCGTCTGTGTAATAAAGGGAAACTCCATGTTTTTACTGTTGGTTTGTTATGTCCATTTTGCGTAATGTGAAAAAAATATTTTTCTAACCATATTCTGTGTTTTATAAGTATTTTTAATGACACTTATTCCTCTAGAAGAAAGGACTTTCTTCACATGTTTCTAGAAAATATCACTTCTTATAATGGTTAAAATGTGGGACATAACAAATCTCATGTGGGAAAAATGTGATTTTATGTTTAGTAGGAACATGTTTAGATGATCAGTTGTTAATGCCCTAAAGTAGAACCATATTTCACCCGGCCGAGTCTGTGTGTGGTATTGAAGAATCATCTTTTATATCTTTTATGTATAAAATTTATTTTATACAATGACAAATACAAGAAATTCTCCCGCTAATAAAAGATAGCGGTTAGGCGCCATTCCACAGAGAAACTCAATCCCACCCTCTCGTTCCTCTCTGAGCTGTGATCCCACAACCTTGTGTGAATTGCAAAGCATCAGTTAGAGATGCTTTGGGAGAAAGATGCAGTAAGACTCTGTGCCTGAATGCTGTTGTGTTTTATACTAATACAACAGCTGCTATATTCCTCCGTAGCTCTCTCTGAAGAGACGGATGAAGAGGAGGATGATGAAGATTACACGGATTATAGCCATGTATCTCTGTTACTGACTGGATAAACCACTGTCAACAGCAGGACTCCATTTGAGCACAGAGTCGTGTTCATATTGTACAGACGTGTACTCTTATTTATTTTCCACAGACGCGTGGAAGATGCTTATTGTTGTAGATGTTTATTTATACATTTTTTGCCTTTTTTTATTTATACATTTATAGTCCGAATAAATGATCTCTCTCGTCTTTTCCTTTGTCGTCTTTGAAAGAATATTATTTATTATAACGTGCAATGTTACTCTTAAGATAAATGTGTTTTGAAAAGTGTTACATTTTGTGAAGGAAAAAAAAAAGAAAGTAAAGTTTTTGTCATTTCCCCAAATGAAATCTGCAGCAAAACATGCATGTGTTTTATTTATTAATCTAATGTTCACTAATAAATGTACTTTGTAGATCTGGATTGGTTTACAATCAAAGCTGACAAAAACAGCTTTGTCAGTAATATCTATGTCTGATTTGTTTTCACTCTGACACCAAAAATTGGTTTTATTTGACAGAAATCATGTTGATTTTAGTGTTTTCTAAAATCAAAATATACCCTTTTTTGCTAATATTTTTCTGTTTTTATGTGGGTGCTCAGACAGAGGAATCCAGTTTATCATATGTTGTATAAAATTAACAATATCAACTTTAGCATTGTTTTCTTGCCATATATTGTTTGTCTTTTTTATTTTAGAGATCCAGCTATACATTTCTAGTTTTGTATTTGTATGTAAATGTTTAATGTATATACCGTTAATGATGCCATTTGTAAAGATGCAATATAAAAAGTAAAAATTGAACCAAATATGTCTCCTACTTCACTGTGGTTGGATTTAAAAATGTACAGCAGCAAAACTAATCTCTGGAAAAGGTATTATTCCAAAACCTTCATAGAAATCTTGCCATTTTAAATCTGTAATTCAGTGATGGGATTTTGAAGAACCTTTAAGAACTTAATTGGTCCTGACCTTGAATCCTTAAAGTGGGAATTTGTTATTCCATGCTAGTCGCAAGCAGATTGCCTTGAACACACACACACACACACACACACACACACACACATAAGCCAATCCAAGTTCTGCAGAAGCCACCGGAACTGTCTGAGCTGCAGCGAGGAAACTAATTTGCCAGGAAGTCGCACAGACGGCTAATTGGAAAGGAGAGCGACACCACCTCTTTGCTTTGCAAGGCTTCATTAGATGCTTATCGTTAATTCAAACCCACTGAGATGTTTTTCAGACAGTGTGGGAACTCATTTTTCTTCATCTGATATTGTGCACAGATGCCTTAAAATGTCAAATTAACAGGTTTTATGACAACAGTTCTGTCTAGACTCTAAGTTAAGCTCTTTACAAACAGACCAAACAAACAAGCGATAAACTTACTTTGGCTTCATTGAAACTGAAGTATGGAGAGAGGCGGTGTTCAGTAAGGTGAGGTGTGTTTGTGCTGTCAGGGATGATCTGTGTCTCCTCTCGCCGGGCAGCTGAATCAGCAGCGGTTGTCATGAGGGAACATGGGCGTCCGGGCCTCGCCGATACCTGCTGGGCAGCATCTGTGATGGCTCAGAAACAGGGAAGAGTAATCATATCTGAAATGACTGCAACAAAGAAGATCGTAATCAAGAGTGAACACTGTGTCACTGTCTCTAACTTGTTTTGGAAAAAATAGCAGGCCGTCACTATAACAATGTTGAGAAACAGCTGATGTTACAGGAGAGAGGAGACTTTTTCCTATAGTCATGCTGATGAAGTTAAAATCCATTGACCTTCCTATGGTCAGGTTTTACATTTTACATTTAATCATTTAGCAGACACTTTTATCCAAGGCGACTTACAAATGATGACAATAGAAGCAATCAAAACCAACAAAAGAGCAATAATATGCAAGTGCTATGACAAGTCTTTTAATTTTAATTAGCCTATATTTTGGCACATTACAGTATATGACAAAAGCTCTTCCTACTCAAAAAGTAATTTTATTATGTTGTCCAGAAAAAAATAAAAACTTGCATAAAACAAGATAAATTTACCTCAGAGGCAAAAATGTTTAAGAAGATAGTTTTCAGATATTATGCTGTGTATTAAAGGAATCCTAGTTAACAAAATATCTTTTGACTCTTGAGTGATTCATTTAATGAATCATATAGCCTACTCACGAACTGATGAGTAGCCTGCTGATGAGTTATCATTACTGATTTCTGTCTTCCCGTGTTTCTGCAGCGGGCCAGGATGTATCTGAATGAACCGCTCGTTTTAAAATCTTCCCGGTCTACTGACATTTGTTACAACATCAGCTTCAAACATTAAAATGCACATGATAACTTTTGTTAACTCTACAATAAGTAAATCCACTTCACCAGCTTTAACAGTGATGCTATAAAGCTATACACAAAAACGGAAGATCAAATACAAAATTCTAAAGATGGCTGATGTGCACTTGTTTCACTGAGGCATAAGATCTATAATTGCTAAAATGTATATATATATATATATATATATATGTAAAACTTATTAAGAAAATTATTTTTGTATTGCAGTACAAACAGTCACCATTGATTTGAAAGGTCTACAGTTTTCTGCCAAGTTCATGAGAGGACACCCTTTATCTCTAGGTATAAACCAGTACAAAAGGACAGTGCTCAAAAAAGCATAAAGCGTTCTGTTGGCGCAAACAAAATGTTTGAAGAGAACCCGTCTGGAGAGAACTGAGCTCTGTGGGTCATTTCCTGACAGTTCATTGAGTCTCTCTAGCAACCAGTCCGCCGGATCCCCGCTGGGTCTCTCATAGAAGTTCAATACAAACGTGTGAGTCAGTCGATGTCTGCGAGACAGCCACTGGTCAGCTGAGGTTTAGCACACTCTATGTGCGACAGATGCCTGGAAATAGAATGAGAAATGTACTCGGGGGTGTAATCGAACAGCTCTGCCGCTCTGGACAGAAGTCAAAACAGTCTCTTCTGCCTGTCTCTGTCCACTTTTGATGAAGGCAAACCAGAGTGTTTCTGTTGCAGCTCATGCATGCAATATACAAACCTTTATCTTGGTTTATACACTCAGTCTGTTGTCTTTAGTGTTTATAGAGCGTTATTAAAACCAGGGATCGCTGTAGAGCGAGTGACTGATGGCCCTGTATGGAAAATCCATGCTTATTAATGTGCCGTTGACTGTTTTTGCCATTTCAGAAATGTTCTCTATTAGTGGTCGTATAAATTTGGTTTGAATTTTAACAAGGAAATAGAATGCACAGAGCCATCAAAAGAGGCGTACACTTCCTCCAACTTCAATGCGCCGACAGAGAATCGTAGTCGAATCAGAGAGGGATCTGAATCTGCCGTTAAAAACAATCAGCAATTAAACCCTGGCTCGAGGCTTTGAAACCAGATCACAGAGAGCCGCTATTAGAGACTATCTTTGTTAGTCCTAACATTACTAAGAAGAGGTTTTCTCACTCGCTGATGGAGAAAGTGTCCCAAATGAGCATGCATGCCTCGTTACCCCAGACGGGCCTGTTTTGATGTCCCAGTGTTGTAAAGCCGAGAATGTACATTTTGTCTTTACATTTGACCCTTGTGTTGCAACACAATGCAAAATGGGATCCACTAATGGAGGCAACGCAAGCTGCAGCCCTAACTCATTATAATCAGTCATGGGAACATGTTTGTGGAGGTACGGCGGCGATAGGAATTGCACATTTCTCATGAGCATGAAGGAAAAAAGCAATGCAAAAGGGTCATTGCTTTTCAGATGCATGTGCTTTTGCTTTCAGTGAGTATGGCCTAGTTAAGTTCGTTTTCACTGGCAATTCTGGGATTCTTGAGTTTCATTGTTTTTTCCTGCACAATTTTGAGTTTTTTTGGGCTGTTTGGCTTTTCGTAACATGCTGTGTCAGAACAGTAGAAAGAAAACATCCCAAATGCACTTCTAAGTGTTTATTTCATTTGCATCAATAGCCTTCAGTTACTTTGTTTCAATTACGTAATCTTTAAAAGCGGTTTTCTCAAAATATGTTTTTTTGAGCAAGAAATCTCCACTTCAGTTGCACTTACACTTACCGAACTTCACCGTTTTATTCCTATCTATATTCTGAAGGTTTTCACAGAGGGGGTTGGGTTCATGTCATTTGCCAGATTTGATAACATTTCATTCCGAAAAACATGATTTTTTTTCTTTCTAGCTGATGGCACTGTTTTCCATGGAAGCCCATTTCTGCCACAGGATAAAAAAATAAATATATATAAAAAATAAATAAGGCAATTGCGACTTTTTAATCTTACATAATTCAGATTTTTATTCTCATAAAAGTTTTGTTTGATATAAACAAAAAATTCCGATTTTTTTCTCAGAATTCTGAGTTTACATCTCAACATTCTGTTTTTCATTTTTTTCCTCAAATAAAAATAAAAAATATATAATTTCAACTTTATCTTGCAATTCTCACTGTTTTCCTCTAATTTCGTAGAGAAATGCATCTCGCAATTCAGTTTTTTGTTTTCTCCACAGAATAAAGACTAAAAAGGTAACTGCAACTTTTTATTTCACAACTTTTTTGAGTCTATATCTCGCAGTTATAACTATTTTTCTCCTAGTTGCCAGGAAAAAAAGCCTGAATTGTTCCATAATGCTTCCATAATTCTTTGTTATAAAAAGAGATCCAAAATCTCCTCTGGAAATATATTTGACTCTCTTATGTCAAGAACATGGATTTTGAACATGGCTTTATCCAATGTTTAGATTTCTGTTCTGGAATTATATACAAATAGTGTCTCATTTGCATATATAAAACATACAATTTTAGAAAACGTGTAATACAAAAAAAAAAAGATATATCTGTCAGTTAAATGTTTTTACCTTAGTCACCTTGTCTTAAAGGGACAGTTCAACCAAAAATGAACTTTCTGTCATTTTTCTTTACCCTCGTGTCAATGAAAGTCAATGACTTTAAAAAAAAAAACTTTCATTGTATGGACAAAAAACAGTTATATCTCAGAATATCTTTTGTTTTTCACAGAGG